GTCACGGGGTCAGAGTTTCGAGGCCATGATGATGTACCGTCACCCTGACGTTGTCACCCTGTCTCTCTCCCTGACGTTTGACTTCTACTTCTCTTTTCACTTGTATTTGCTCACGTTTGGCCTTTCTCTCTCTCTCTCTCTCTCTCTCTCTCTCTCACACAGATGCCCTCCTTATCTGCCCTGGGGTTCATGTTTGCAGTTCACCCTGAAGAGAGGAAATAAATGCATAAATGAATCACTTTGATCTGGACCAGACCAGAACAAAGGAAACAGATCAGGTGGACTGTTACTGTTACTGATGCTGCTGCTGCTGCTGCTGCTGATGATGATGATGATGCTGCTGCCTCTCTGTGTTTCAGTTCGTGAGGCTCAGTCTCAGGGACAGACTCTCTCCCTCTCTCTCTCCCTCCTCTCTCTCTGATCTGATGATAAAAAACCTATTATTGGTCCATGAAGAGAGCAGTGGTGATGACACTCCAGCTGCACTGACCACTGACCACTGACCACTGACCACCACCACTTCCTTTCTCTCTGTGTCTAAAAACAGAGCAAATAGAGGTTTTTAAAAACCTCATTTCTTCTAATCCGCTGCAGGAGGACCCTGGTCTGAGGTGGAGCGTCACAGACTCACACTGGGAACACTGGGAACACTGGGAAGTACAGAGGAAGCTGCAACATGAAAACATGACTGGGCAGGTGGCTCAACCTGAGCTGTGAGGCTGGTACCTGTAGGAAGTGGCAGGTGCGTCCCTGTTCGGCCTTGACCAGAGCCTTGTCCAGAGCCTTGTCCAGGTTGACCGAGGCCTTCTGGTAGACCTCCCTGGCTCTGCTCACCGTCAGAGTGGAAGACCACGAGCTCTTCTTCAGCTGCACCTGACCAGTGTCCACCGCGCTCACCAATGGCAACACTACGCCGCCGCCGCCGGCTCCGCCCCCTGAGCAGGTGGAACATTTGACGTCGTTGTTGCTCCGTGACGTCTTGAGGGTGTGGGCGCTGATGGTGTTGTACGACTCCATGAAGTACTGGGACTGAGACTTATCTGGGTGACGACCCATGGTCATGACACCAGAGGGCAGCGCTCTGCCGCTTCCTCCGTGGTGGTGGTGGTACAGACACACGTCCCGGTCCAGCGTGTCGTCAGAACTCCAGTAACCTGAGATGGCCGTGCGCATCTTAGGCTCCGACTTGGAGCGGTCTTTGCTCTTGCTGCGTTTGCTGTGCTTCAGTGTTCCGGAGGAGGACGGCGGGTCGTCGGGGCTGGACTTGCCGCCGTTTAATCTGCCAACCGCTGCTCCGCCAGCCCCCGACGGCCCCTCCAGGGAGTGGGACTTGGTAAAAAGCTTCTGGACGGAGTGGACCAGGTGGCGGATGCGACCAGGACTGTCACTGCGCTGGTGTTCCAAAGCCGTTCGCTTGTACTGCAGCGTGTGGTAGCCCTCACGGCGCAGCCCTGCTGGCTGGCGTTCAAACTGCTCCAGCAGGTTGGAGGACATGCGATTGTTGGTTCCTCCTCCCCCAGCTTTGCTGCCCCCTGGTGGCCCCGTGTAAGGCACCAGAGCACCACACTCCTCCTTCAGCTCATGGTGGGAGCTGTAATGTCTGCGGGGGAAGGTGCAGCTGGCCAGGTCGGGGTAGGCGTTACACTCCGTCTGGAAGGTGTTCCTCTGGGTGAAGCAGCTGTGGTCGGGCGGACGGACCTCCCCCTGGCTGAGGAAGTACGGCCGACGGTCCGAGTGCCCCAGAGTCACGGAGTCGTAGGAAGGGTCACAGGTCACCGGGTGGTGGTGGCTGCGGCTGCTGGACAAGCCTTTCATCGTCATGGTGACCGGGGCAGGACGCACATCCAACTGCTGCCACCAGGAGTCCCCAAATTCAGCTCTACACAAACGAGAAGACAAAGAAAGAGCAGAGTTATAAATACCTGACATGAACAACGTTCTGCCGCGGCCTCCTGGGAGAACGTCTCCTGATGTTGATGGAACATGACGCCTTTTTTTCTTCTTCTTCTTCAAACTTTTATTTTTGCCCTTCAAAGCCTCAAAAGCAGCAGATCTAAATATAGCAGCTCCCTGATATCCATGTCTGCCCTGGAGCATCTTCTCTGAGCTCAGGAGGAGAGTCCAAACAGCTGCAGTCACTACTCCACCCCTTCAGGGATACGACTGCGGACCAGGCATCAGTCTGACCCCCACATGACCCCCACATGACCCGTTACAACGTAACGTCACTGTCTTTGTTAATTAACATCAGGTGTGAAGGTTTTCACTGCAGGACCTGCTTTATCTACTGCTGCTCTGGGTCTGTGTGTCTGTGTGTGTGTGTGTGTGTCTTATTGTGACCATTGACGACTGAGTCGACCTCATCCATCAGACCTGTGTCCCATCATGGCCTGCAGGCCTTAGATTTCACAGCATGTTGTTTGTATGTTCAACACAAACCAGTCCAGAACTGACAGTCAGTCAGTCAGTCAGTCTGTGGTACTGATGACTGACTGATGACTGACTGTGTGTCTGTGGCTGCTCCAACCTCAGGCCTTCAGGACTGTTATCTACTCTGAGATTAATCAGATGAAACTCTAATCTGACAGATTAAAGGTTCAATAATCCTTACAGTTCAGTGATGAAAAGAGAAGCCACTGGTCTTTGAAGTGACCACAGCTGACATTTGACCCCACAGTCCACAGCTGCAGTGACTCCATCAGGATGGAGGAGGAGAAGCTCCGTCTGATCGACCTCGACCGTCACAGGACACAGGACAAAATATTTGAGTTAATCTAGGATTAAAAGTCTGCTCCGTCACAGGCTGTGATTGGGTCATAATTAGTCACTGATTAGACGAGTGTTAGAGCCCAGATCATCCACACTGGATGGACCTCATTAGAAGGTCAGTTCTTTTCTGTCAGATGTTTAAAAACAAAGCAGCGTTTTAATGAATGTGGAGTTCATTTATTTAGTGTTTTACAGGACGATGAGGTTAAACCAGCAAACGACCACTTGGAGTCTTCCAGAATGATCCGCCTATAAAAACCTAGGACCTTCTAACGGCTGAACATTTACAAACTTGTCTCTCCCCCTCCCCCCTCATCACCACTCTCTCTCTTTTTTTAATAAAGTTCAATAAAACAATCCATAAAAAGCAGCCGAGGAAATTGGACGAGAGAGGAAGGTGTCGCCATGGAAACAAATGGATTTTTCCTCTGGAAAACAGTGGGTTTCCAGGCTGAGGACTAATGAGAAGTCGTATGTACCAGTCGCTCTGGGACCATGTGTGGACTGAACAGGGCTCTCTCTTACTTCTGTCTTATAGCCACGAGTATCCACAGAGGACAGGACGAGGACGAGGACGAGGACGAGGACCAGCAGGAGCAGCAGGAGGAGGAGGTTTCATGATCAGTGGTTCTCAGAGACACACACTCACACACACTCGTGCTGCAGACGCTGTAGCTCGTACAGTCGTATGTAGGCCGTAGCCACGTCAGCTAGTGTTAGCATCAAGCTAACGAAGCTACGACCGGGGGCTTCTGCTGAGTCAGCTGATTTGTAGAAACTAAGTCCAGACTTAATTACATCTTTGTTATAAGATGATGTCAGTGATTACCAGAGGACGGGTGCTGCCCCCCCCAGGTGACATGGAGCAATTAAATGTTAACTCAATCACAATGGTACTAGTTCTGAATTTGTTTTTTTTTTAATTTGTATCATGTTGATAAAAAGAACTCTGAAACCCCCCGACCCCCCCCGACCCCCAGGAGATGGGAGGGGTCCAGTAAAGTGACAAGGGTCTAAGCTGGATGATTTGTGTCTCTGTGTGTGGGACGTCACCACCAGGACATGTCAACTGCAGCCTGACACCAGTGACAGAGAGAGGGTGTGTGTGTGTGTGTGTGTGTGTTTGTGTGTCTGATCAAACACACTGTGTGGTAGCGTGGGTGTGGCGTTACACCTCGTGTGTGAGATGTGAGTCCATACAGTCGACTGCTGCTGTTGCTGCTCTGCATGTGTCAAACCAGGTGAGCAGCGGTGACAGCAGCTCACCCCCTACTGACCTCATGTCAAAACACGGCACAAACATTCAGAGAGGAAAAAAAAAACCTAGAAACCTCTAAATCTAAAACAACAAACCAGAACCGACAGCAGCTCCAGAAAAACAAACCCAAAAACAGAGTCTCAGGTTTGACCCCCAGTGACCTCTGTAAACACAGACCAGTGAGCTGACACTGCACCGCGTGGGTCAGATGTGATCCAGCCCAGGTGGACTCCATCAGAGGACCAGAACACCTCACACTTGGCCCCTCCAGGGGGCAGTGTGTTGTTGTAACTGAAGAATCCCCCAGTGTTGTGATTTATAAGGAAGGAAAGTCACACAACACCACTGAGCCACTGCACCACTGCACACACCCATCACCACAGTCAACAGCTGGTGGACTCGAACCTGAAACCTTCCAGACCTAAGCCCCCACCTTGAACCACCAAGCCCCCACTGCTCTTAATAACATGAATGAATGTCAGTCTCAGGTTCAGGAAGAGAGAAGAACACAGAGTTCTGAAGACTGAGACTGAGAACTGTTGAAGGGAACAATCACCCCTGACACAGGGGTAACTGGTTACTTCCTGCAGAGACCCCTGCCCCCCCCCCAGCCTACTGTGTTAATACTTTGTCATGATGTTCCCATGGAAACAGAACCAACCAAACGACCAGGGTTCAGTAGAACTGTTGACCGTCTTTAACAATAAAGAAATTAAAGGAGTTAAAAAAAAAAGTTTGAAGTTTGAAGAAGTATCTGTCCCTAAAATCAGCTCCACTTCAGCCAAAAACTGTTTGAATTTCACTGATACGACCAGAACAAACTGAAGACATTTTAAATCAACCTGACTGACCAACAACGAACCCTAACCTGGACCTGTTTCCTCTCAGGATCAGACAGATGTTTATAATTATTATTTTTCATTCTTTCATTGTCCACTGGGGGTGATGTCATCTCAAAATTAATCTGTGAAAATATGGAGGGCTTTAATCTGAATGAGCAGAATTCTGATTCTCATAAATGAATGGGAGGAGATGAGGTCATTTATGAACGCTCCCTGACCCCAGGGTCAGTGAACACATCAGCTGGAGAACAGTGGAACAGTGGAACAGTGGAACTCACCTCCTCTACTGCGTCATGGCCCACGTGGGTTCTGTCCCGTTCTTAACTCCACCCTCCTGCACATGACGTCACCTGAAACAACGGAGCAGAGGAAGAAGTGATCAGAAAGTCTGGGACTGGATTTGATGTTGATGTGGGGGGGGGGGTTACTGTTACTACTGTTACTAATGACATCATGAACTGCCACAGCTCTCCACACACACGTCCATAAACCCTGACCCTACAACAGTGCTGTGTCAGGGTTTACAACCATCCCTTCACAATAAAAGCCCGGGGACAGTGAGCTGTCGCCTGTCACCAGTCTGACAGCATGGACCAGACGGGGGTCTGTCCGTCTCCCACCAGGGGGAGTGGGGGGGTCAGGGAGTTCTAAACAAATAAGCTGCTGCTCTCATTCGTACAAAACATGCAGAGAAACGACAGGAAGGAAATAAAGTGAGTGAAAATGGGAAGAAAAACAGTTCCACAGTTTGAGGCTCCTCTGAGCTGGAGCAGGAGCTGCATAAAAGATGAGGCTGAATGTGACCTGTGG